CCAGCTGCACTATACAGCACATTTTTTACATCTGGCCTGGTCCGGACTGGTCCAAGGGCTACTGCATGAGCTATCTCGCATTTAATTTGCTCAAAGGCTTGTTGTTGCTCAGGGCCCCATTTAAAATCATTCTTCTTCTGGGTCACATAATAGAGAGGGCTTACAATCGAACTGTAATTTGGGATGTGCATTCTCCAGAACCCCACTGCACCCAAGAAAGCTTGCGTTTCTTTCTTATTAGTTGGTGGAGACATTGCTGTTATCTTGTTGATCACATCTGTGGGGATCTGTCTACGCCCATCTTGCCATTTTATTCCCCAAAATTGAATCTCCTGTGCAGCTCCCTTGACCTTACTCCGTTTTATGGCAAAACCAGCTTTCAGCAGGATTTGGATTATTTTCCTCCCTTTCTCAAAGACTTCTTCTTCTGTATCGCTCCACACAATAATGTCATCAATGTCACCACACTGCAGGTGTTCTGGAGCTTGCCCCTGTTCTAGTGCAGTCTGGATCAGTCCATGGCAGATGGTAGGGCTGTGTTTCCACCCCTGGGGCAGTCGGTTCCAAGTGAACTGGACACCCCTCCAAGTAAAAGCAAACTGTGGCCTGCACTCTGCTGCCAAAGGAATTGAGAAAAATGCATTGGCAATATCAATCGTGGCATACCACTTGGCTGCCTTTGACTCTAGTTCATACTGAAGCTCTAGCATGTCCGGTACGGCAGCACTCAATGGTGGTGTGACTTCATTCAGGCCACGATAGTCTACTGTTAGTCTCCATTCTCCATTAGACTTTCGCACTGGCCATATGGGGCTATTAAAGGGCGAGCGGGTCCTGCTGATCACCCCCTGACTCTCCAGTCTACAGATCAGCTGATGGATGGGAATCAGGGAGTCTCAGTTGGTGCAATATTGCCGCCGGTGCACTGTTGTGGTAGCAATTGGCACTTGTTGTTCTTCAACTTTCAGCAACCCCACAGCAGAGGGATCTTCTGAGAGACCAGGCAAGGTGGACAGCTGTTCAATTTCCTCAGTCTCCAAAGCAGCAATACCAAAAGCCCACCGGTACCCTTTTGGGTCTTTGAAGTACCCTCTCTTGAGATAGTCTATGCCGAGAATGCATGGAGCCTCTGGACCAGTCACAATAGGGTGCTTTTGCCATTCCCTCCCAGTCAGGCTGATTTCAGCCTCCAGCACAGTCAACTCTTGGGATCCTCCTGTCACTCCAGAAATATAGATGGGTTCCACCCCTTGACAGCTTGATGGCATCAGGGTACACTGTGCACCGGTATCTACTAGAGCCTTATACTTCTGTGGGACTGATGTGCCAGGCCATCTGATCCACACAGTCCAGTAAATCCAATTGTCCCCTACCTCCACCTGGCTGGAGGCAGGGCCCCTCTAATGGTCATCCCAGCGTTGGACACTTAAGTCGTGGTGAAAGGGATTATTCTTCGTTATCACAGGAGCTGGAGTAAAATCAGCTCTTCCATTCCATCTGGGAAACTGCTCACCAGAGACTGAAGCTATAGCTCTCATGGGACGATCAGTCTTGGCCCTTGCTCCCCTCTTCAGTTCAATCACCCGTTCCTCCGAAGCTGAAGTAGGTTTTCCATCCCACTTTGTCATGTCTTCTCCGTGATCCAGCAGGTAAAACCATAGAGTACCCCGTGGTGTATACCTCCTGTATCTCCTCTCTCGAACAATAGGACGCCTTTTGTTAAGAGCTGAGACGTGTGTTGGTACACGTGAGGAGCTAGATAAATCAGATAGATTGTCCCTCAATTGTTTGAGGTCCTGGGACAGTTTTTCCACAGCTGAGATGATGGAAGGGGTGAGATTGTCTTCGAACTCTTGGAGTTTATGAACCATTTCATCCACTGTTAGTGGTACTATGTCATTCCAGGTTACTGTTGCCAATGAATGGGCATATGATGACAGCGCATTCCGTGTAAGTTTCCGCCTTACCCTGAATGGGTCGTGTACATTCAACTTCATCTGGATCTATGGGTGTATCCCCGTTATTTGGTTTGATGTGATAGATCATCTCTACGATGGCTGATTCCCTCAGAGACCGCACGCCTTTGTCTATAGTAGTCCACTTGGCCGAACGACTCATAACATCGTCCTTGTATGGAAACCTTTCTTTCACAGCTGCCAAGAGCTGCCTCCAAAGGCTGAGGGACTTTTTCTCTCTTGCAATTGCTTTGTCAATTCCCCCTTCTCTAGCAAGTGATCCCAGCTGCTTGGCTTCTGTACCTTCCAGTTCGTGACCATCGGCCCCATTGTCCCAGCATCGGAGTAACCAGGTGATGATGTGCTCCCCTGGTTGACGGGTAAAATCTTTTTGCATATTCCGCAACTCGGTTGAGGTCCGAGGTCGAGAAGTTACCTCTTCTTCTTCTTCTTCTTCTTCATCATGTGATGATGACTCCTGATCAGATTCTGGACCGGGTGGTGAATTCATTGTTTCTTCATCTTGCTTCACCCTTCTTGCCTCCTTTTTGCTTGTTCTCTTGCGTACAGAGGCAACCGATATTGGTACGAATTGGTCCTCTGGTTTGGCTCCAGTGATTATCACTGTGGTTTGAGTAGTGACTGTACTTGTTGCTGGGGGTGGTGTAGCTGCTGTCCTTGGAGCTGGGGTAACCACGCTGTCTGTTGCAGTCGAAGTTTGAGCAGCTGCTGTACTTGCCACTGGGGTAGCTGCGCTGTTCATTGCAGCCGAAGTTTGAGTAGCGACTGTTGCTTTGCCCTCAGATCCACCGACATTCTTTTCCTTTTGAAGGTGCTGGATAGTGTTGAACAAGGCCCTGTAAGCATAGGCCAAGCCCCAGCACGTTGCCATGATTTGTCCATCTCTGGTATGGCCAGAATGACCACACACCTCATTTAAGTGTTTTACTAATTCTTCTGGATTTTGCAGTTGTTCGGTAGTGAAATTCCAAAGTACTGGAGGGGCCCACTGACCTAGATACTTGCCCATACTGTCCCACACACCCTGCCACTCATGGCTGTCCAGCCTCAGGGAAAATCTCTTGGTCCTCCTACATCATCGTTTGACCCCAGACAAGACCCAAACTTGACTGTGCTTAACTCTTGAAATCAGTCGTGGGCAAAACACACTCTGTATGCGTGCTAGCATGGTGATTCCCATCACGATCAGCAAACAAGTCTCAACAGCATTAAAAGGCCATTCAAAAACTTCAAAACTCTCAAATGTAAATGGTCTGGGGGGATGAGTGGGAGGGTAAAAGGATGTCTCCTTCACAGGTTGAGCACCTGAGAAGGAGAAAAAAGATGTGCAATTGCTAAGCACCTCCATCATATACCTCCCAAAGTATAAAGGTGGTGACCACACTGGGAACATAAGCCAGATCAGTTTCATGATCAATGATTCTATTGTATTACAAGTCATTACCATAAAGTACAATGGGACAAAAACCTTAACCCAAGCCCCACACTTGAAAAACACTAATACAGCAAATACCAGATGGAAGTAAGATAGGATATACTGAAACTGAGATCAAGAGGAACAACCTTGAGAGCCAATAAATCAGCATTGTGACGAGTGACTATTAATCCGGTCAGATCTGTCATTATCTCAACCCCTCGCGCCCCACGTTGGGTGCCAAAAAGAACTGTCGTGGTTTAAACCCAGTCAGGCAACTTGTTCACTCACTCCCAGTGAGTGGTGCCATGCTGACAACAATTGAGTCCCCCCCCCAGGCTCTCCCCTTCCCCACTCCCAGAGGAAGGGGGAGGAGGATCGAAAGGGTGCAACTCCCACGGGTTGAGACAAGAACAGTCCAGCAACCAATATACACAAATCACCACCGCTACCACCAACTACAACAATCATAAGAGAAAATAACAAGGGAAGAGAATACAATACCACCGGCCAAGAAACGAGTCCCTCCCGGAAGCCCGTGTCCTTCCGGGTAACTCCCAGTTACCCCCCACCCTGGGCATTACGTGCTGTGGTATGGAATACCTCCTTGGCTAGCCTGGGTCAGGCACCCTGTCTCTGCTTCCTCACAGCTTCCCCTCCTCCCTGGCAGAGCATGAGCCTCACAAAGTCCTTGGTCAGGGTAAACATCACTTAGCAACAACCGAAAACATCAGTTTCACCAACATTGTTCCCAGGCTGGAAGTCAAAACACAGCACTGCACCAGCTACCACAAAGGAGAAACATGACTGCTACTGCTGAACCCAGGACAGTGGGTTTGACTAAAACCATCATCTTGCATAACATGAACAGCATGGGTCTTGCAGGCAGTAGCATGGAAAGTTTGGCTTCAAGGTTGGCTTCAAGGCCAGGTTGGATTGGGGGTTTGATCAACCTGGTCTAGTGGAATGTGCCCCTGCCCATGGCAGGGGGTTGGAACCATCTGATCTTTAAGGTCCCTTCCAATGCAGACCATTCTATGATCCTATGAAACCATGCCTGTACAGTCTATAAGGTGAATGAGAAACTGCAGCAGCGTATCCATATAATCCAATTACCTGAAATCAGCATTAGTTAGTCTAAGCTTTTCCATGTAATACATGGGCTATTGAGAAGGCTCCATAAAATCTCCTCGTTCTAGTGTTGCAGTTTGGGGTTTAACACACTGGACCTTCAATTAAACCTGTGGAAGTCCTGCCTTGTGAAAGACTACAATCGTTTTAGATACCTATCACAGTGCCATATGACTTTGCAGGCTTCTTGCCTTCTTATTTATACAAATAGATTTACTGAGTTGCAGCCCAAACGAGAATTAAAGCATCATTTCTTTTCTCAACAAGCGCAACAGAGCAGACCAATTCTTCAGTACTGCGATGACAGCACTTTGGACTTACCGCATGCTACCGCACCTCCTTTCCTCTGGCTATGCTCCCAGGCACCTCTGCCTCCGGGAGGCAGCGAAACCGCCACGCCCCTGCGGCGGGGCTGAGGCGGGAGCGCGGCCCCGCCCCGCTGCGCGTTACCCGCGGCTCCCCGGGAGGCGCTGACCCGGAAGTGTTCTGCCCGCCCGGCGCGGCGGTGCCGGCTGCGGCGGGGGAAGATGGCCGAGTCGTTGGAGGAGGTGGCGGTGCTGGTGCAGCGGGTGGTGAAGGACATTCGCAACGCCTTCCAGCGAAACCCCCACATGTGAGTGGCGCGGGCGGCTGCCGGGACCGGGCGGGCTCCTCGGCCGCCGGCGGTCCCTCTCTCTCGCCTCCCGGCGCGTAGGGGTGCCTGTCGGGGCCGGGGGCCCGGGCCCAAGGTCACGCCGAGTGGTGCCTCGGGGACCAGTCGGGTTTCCCCGCCCGGCACCGCCCCACGAGGTGCCAGGCTGCGAGCGGAGGGTCCGCGCCGGGCGGCTTCCGCGGCACCTGCGCTTCCCCGGGGCAGGTCGGTGGTTCCCCGACGGTGTCTCCTGTGCTCTCCTGCTGTCTCGTCTTACAGGTACCGCCGCGCACCTGCTTCGGGGGTCTGGGTGCTCGCGGCGGGCGTGCGGCCCGGGAGGCTCAGGCTGCAGCAGCACCCAGCCGGTGGCGAGCCTTGGGGCGGTTCGTCGTCCTGGGGGCAACACCAGGCTCATCGGTGCATAGTACTGAGCCGTGGAAACCAGCGGGGGCTCTAGAGTCTGGAAGCGATGAATATCTTTTTAAATATAAGTTCTTAAATGAACCGTACTCAAATTCGAAGTTTGGCGGTGTTAAACTCACAACGTAGTCGAGATGGGTTTGACCTTCGCCTGTGGGCAGGTCAGGCCTGCCAAAGTCCCGCTGAAGGCAGCAGGGTCTGTCTGTGTCTGAGGCACAGCGTTAATGCTGGTGGAAGCACACCTTCAGGGTTGAAGCCTGCTGAATTGCACCCTTGTACAAACAGCATGATTTGATGAATGCCATGTTCAAATCCGTCTGTTAATAGAGGTGCCAGTACTTTTCATTGCGTGGTAGGAGACAAGAAGAATGATTGTGTAGATACAAACTACAGTTATTGCTGTCTTGTGAGAGGCAGGCTTTTCTGACAATCTGGGGGTCAGATGGTCAGTGTTTCATTTTCAGTTCCGCTGACCAGCTCTGAGATCCTGATTTAGGTACCTCCTGTATTTCTGTTTCCTTCCCTGTCCTTTACTGTTTTAAGACAGAAACTGTTTAGGGAAGCATCATTCTGTCTGGTTATGCAAACTCTGCATTGGTCATGGCAAATGAGGCAGCACTTGGTGGATAACAACTTTGTAACATCAGTATAGTGTATTTGTGTCAGTCACTAAGGCTGCAGTCTCTAAGGTGGTGGCCTATTAGTCTGTTCCAGAAAACGGTACTCTAACCAACTACGCAGGAAAATTTTACAGGCACTTAATTTATCCCATTGCTTAAAAGAGAGGGTTAGAATGAGTCCCGTCATGAGTCCCGTCATGAGTCCCGTCATGAGTCCCGTCATGAGTCCCGTCATGAGTCCCGTCATGAGTCCCGTCATGAGTCCCGTCATGAGTCCCGTCATGAGTCCCCTCATGAGTCCCCTCATGAGTCCCCTCATGAGTCCCCTCATGAGTCCCCTCATGAGTCCCCTCATGAGTCCCCTCATGAGTCCCCTCATGAATGTCTCTATAAATGTAGTAAGCAACTTGGGTGGGTGGCCAGATTTTAAAATACAGCATATGGATGCTGTGTGAAAAAAAACCAAACACCAAAACCCTGCATTTTTCCATGAAGCTTCATTTTTAGGTTGTGAGGCTGTAAATAGCCAGTATTTGTGAATGAATGTTCTGAGTCTTCTTAGTTTCTGTTCCTTTGTCAGATTGTTCATTGGTAGCAAACTTCAAAAAACTTTGTTTTGAAGAATATGCCGCTGTTGCCGTTTTCTTTCAGATGTGTCATCTCAGAGATGAAAGTAGGCTATGAGATTTATTGCCTGGGATGAACACGCTGTGCCATGCTTCGAGTGAGGAGCCACAAGCTAGTGCTAGTTTGCTGTCTGCTAGATTTCTGAACTGCAGTACTTGAAGAGGGGCTATGCACAGCCAGTGTAGGCTGCCAGCCCTTTGCTACGATGCCTTTCTGCCCCCAGAGCACTGACTTGCAGCCATGCTGGTCAGATACTCTCCAGTATATCAGAGACATCTTGTCTTCCTGCTGGTGGGCAAGACAGTTGTAACCAGCTGTAGTCCCTGACAGATGTTATCCTCTTGAATAGAGTAGCCTGTTTGTGTTACAGATCTAGGTTTGAGTTCTTTTACATGGTATCTACCAGGTCCTACTGAAAATAATGAAGCTGACGTGCGTAATGTTTCTGTTCACATCTCATTTTTTATTCCCTACTCATTTCTCTTCAAGCATTTGTTGTCACTTGTCTTTGACTGTTTGCTTGCCCCCTTTGCATTTGTTGTAATGAGTGTTTTGTTCTGGAAGGTTCATAGATCAGTAGGTCTTAAAGGGGCATTTTCTCTGGTCCACAGTAAAAAGCATGTAAAAATACAGTTTTAGACTAAGTAGAACATTGAATTGTTGATTCTTTATTTTTTTTCTCTCTTATTTAAAAAAAAAATCTATTTTTCCCTTTAAATTAAATTTGCAGTAAGAATGTGCATCTTTTTAAGATGAGCTTACTTGTAACTAAATATACAACTCAAAATTTTTGTTGCCTTGTCTCTCTGTTAACTCCATTTTCTTCAGCCAGTTAACTGTGTCACCATGCTAGTTCTCGATTTTCTAAGGTTGGAAGATATTTTTACCCAGTCTTTCAAGCATAGTTCCTGATAAAGTCATATACATCAGCTATCCTGCTGGAACTGAACAGATCAGCAGTGAGCAGATCAATGTATCTTTCCTTTTTAACTTTGCTGTTCTTTAGAATGTGAACGCAAACAGAAGGAAGCTCACTTGTCAGAAAAGTACACCAATTTGGTAAACATAATTTGAAATATGAAGTCTTAAATGGTAGCCCAGGTATTTGTGTACAGAATCTGGGGATAGTATTTATGGTTTTCCAAGAATCATTCATGTCACTGTAACAGATAATTTTTTCTGTCTCAATTTATCTTATTCTTAGTGTAGTAAAAATATCACACTTCATTTTGTTAGATGTGAAACTGAATCAAGGTTTCTACTGGTGTGATTGCAAATTTCAGGGGATCCAGAAAGAGATATACTTGCTTAAGTCTTTACTGTACCCGAGTATGAAATCTGTCTTGCCAGTGTTCTTTTTGTTGAATTAATACTTTTGTGCAGCATTGGTACTTGCAAATAAACCGATAATAATGATAATTATCTTGGAATACTTAGTGAGAAGGATCATCAGTGCAGAACTTTGTTGTTGCAGCAGAAGTCCAATCAAGTGGAGATTAATCTGAGAGCAAACAAAAGGGAACCCTCAGATATGAAAGCGGCGCATCTAGAGCTTCTTTAGAAGTAATAGTTCATAGAAGTACTTTGGATTTCCATATAATATATTACTGTTATTTCATTTATTAAATATTTTGGTTGTATCACTAAGACAATGACTAATCATAGTGTGCAAATTAATTTATTAGTTGAAATTCTAAGAATCATGTATATGATGCACTGCACAATAAGGGAAAAAAAAATTCAGGTCTTCAGTTTAGGCCCTCTCTTCCCTGCTGTACATTCTATAAATGTATAAACACTGTAAATTCTTTAGCCATGTAGTCATTTCATGAGACTTACTTTAGTGTAGAAATATACACCTTTCCAAGTCTCCATGCTCCAGATTGTCTTGTAGTATTAAAAGCTTTTTGTAATTGCAGAAATATTCAACTACTTAGGTCCAATCTTTATTGTCAGTAGAATTACAGTTGCTTCATATGCACCAGATATAGATCTCCCAGCCATTATTTAATATCCTCTGTCTAATCCTGTGGGGATAGGTTGGCTTATTTTAAAGATGATTTTCCAGAATAAAAAACAGAAAAGGTCCCTTCACATGGGATGCCTAAAGCTGAAGACCTGTCACACTCCCATCAGAATGCCTCCTCCCCTGGCAATTTCAGCTAGCTGAGTTAGTTCTGGAGTTGGGATGTTTTGGGCAGACTTGTCAGCTATATACAAACCCTACCTTTCTGTCATTTTGGCATGTTTAAAGCACTGTTGTGAAACTTGGCTCATCTGCGTCAGACTTTTTGTGTTTGATAAGAAGTGAAGTTTTGGATGCATGGAGGTTTTTTTTTTCCTCTCCTTGCTGTTTACATTTGGGGTATTGTTTGTAAGCAACAGCTAGTAAATTCTTGCAGTAATTAATGGAGTTAATTAGCAAAGCTGTGTGTGACAGCATCATCATTGCAGGTGGGGACCTGTATGACCCTATATGCAAGGTCAGGCAATGTGTGGCTAAGGATGAGGTTTAACGTTCATAAAAGAAGGGAATCTGCTGTAAATATAAACTTCATGCTATAAGGTGCCATGTTTAAAGAAGCAGGTGGGAATGTCATTTTTGGTCTAATCTGACTAGCTTCCTGAAGGGCTTGTGTTGAGTGCAGCAGCAGAAAGGAGCATCTTACTTTAATACCATTGGTTGCAATTGGTGGGGTAGAAAAATGCTGTTTTTCCTCTGTCTGTTTTCAGATGACCAGAGATGGGTAAAGGACCTGGGTGTATGTTTGGAGACAGAGCCAGGTGATTTGCAAATATCTTACCTTGAGTTACTTGTGCTCTTTTTGGCTTGTGATGTATGTCATGAAGTACAGAGGATTAAGTCTTCTTTCTGAATAAGCAAACATATTCTTAAACAATCACGTCACTTTTTATTATGTTATTAATAATTTACTGAGGATAGAGAACTAAATCAGTACACTCAGATTCTCCAGTAACAGAATTCAGTAATTAGTTCAGCAGACTGTCTTGCTTAGGAGAAGGAAAACGGTACATGCAGAAACGTGCACGTTGCTGTCTGTGTAACTGTCTTTCGTGCAAACTTTGGTTTCCGAGTGCCTAGTCACGCTGCTGCAGGACACGTATGGGTAGCTTTGGCTCAGTCAGCTGCCTGTATGGTTTCCCTGTTTTGTTTCCCTTGCAGTAGCAGTTCCTACATCTACATCACAAAGGTAGGAGTACTTGTGTTAATTCAGCTGAGTTAAACTGCTTAGGTGGTAATCTAAACATACAAAAAAGGGGACCTTCTTCATTTAGGTTCGTTGGGAAAATAGAGTAAAACTTTTCGATTATCATAAGGTAAGAAGATCCAGAAACACCAAAAAAAATCTTCCTAGAGAACTTTTGAAGGATTTTGAATTCATTATGGGTCATCTGATAACAACTATTAATTTCAGATTCTTCAGAAAGTCTTAAAATACTTCTGATTTTCAGTGGCTACAGCACTTTGGAACTAATACAAAATTTTTGTAGTACTCAAAATCACAACTGGCTTTTATATTGAGTCTGAATAAATTCCACAGAGGTAAAATACATTTATGTTTTTTGCTCAACTTAAATCTTTATTCATGCCTTAAAACATGTTTGAGTAATTTATTTGCCAAGTTAACACACTGCATGAGTTTTGCAAAGAATGGCTTTCTGAAAATGCGTTTTTTTCATACCTGCTCTTCAGCCAGAACCAAGAAGGTGAATTGAGGATAATGACTACAGATTTTTGGTAAAAACAGGGGAAAAGATGGGTGGGAACTGGATGGGAAGCATTGCCAGTCTGCTCTATTGAGGAACATAATTGGCATCTACTGGAAATAAGTTTAATTATATTTCTTTCTGTTTTTTTTTTTTTTTTAAGAGACGAAATTGGATTGATACCCTGTCCTGAAGCCAGGTATAACCGGAGCCCTATCGTCCTGGTAGAAAACAAGCTTGGTGTGGAGAGTTGGTGTGTCAAGTTTCTTTTGCCATATGTCCACAATAAACTTCTCCTCTACAGACAAAGAAAACAATGGCTGAACAAAGATGGTAAGTTACGCATAAGGAGAACTGCATCTAATGTGATTCTCAGTGCACATTTTTTGTTTATCATAGAATCATTTAGGTTGGAAAAGACCCTTAAGATCATAGAGTCAAACCAGAAAACACTGCCAGGTCTGCCATTAAAACATGTCTCTTAAGTGCCACATCTATATCTTTTAAAATATCTTTAGGGATGGTCACTCAGCTGCTTATCTGGGCAGCCTGTTTCACTGCTTGACAATCTTTTGGTGAAGAAATTTTTCCTAATATTCAGTCTAAGCCTGAACTTGAGGCCATTTCTTCTTGTCCTATCGCTTGTTACTTGACACCCACTTTGGTATAACCGCTTTTCAGGTGGTTGTAAATAGCAATAAGGTCTCCTCTGAGCCTTCTTTTCTGCAGACTGAACACCTCCAGTTTCCTCAGCCTCATAAAACTTGTGCTCTTGGCCCTTCACCAGCTTTGTTACCTTTCTCTGGACCTGCTCAAGCCACTCAGTATCTCTCTTGTAGTGCCGGGCCCTGAACTGAACACAGGATTCGAGGTGCAGCCTCACCAGTGCTGAGTACAGGGGGATGATCACTGCCCTCGCCCGCCTGGCCACACTATTTCAGATACAGGCCAGAATGCCATTGGCCTTCTTGGCTGCCGGGGCCCAAGCTGGCTCACATTCAGCTGTCAGTCAGCACTCCTGGGTCCTTTTCCACTGGGCAGCTTTCCCACCACTCTTCCCCAGGCCTGTAGTGTTGCATGGGGTTGTTGTGGCCCAAGTGCAGGACCCAAGTGCAATTGTTGAACCTCATACAATTGTCCACAGCCTATCAGTCAGTTTGTCCAGATCCCTCTGCAGAGCCTTCCTACCCTCCAGCAGATCAACACTCCCATCCATCTTGGTGTTGTCTGCAAACTTACTGAGGTGCACTTGGTCCTCTCATCCAAACAGTTTACTTTTTTTGACACTACACTGTCCCTTAAAGCCAGTTTAATCTGTTCTGAAAGAACTGAGTGTTACTGGCAGGGAGGGCAGGCTTTGGATTGTGCATCTTGGCAAAATAAACAAGTTGTAGGGCTGCTTAGTTGAAAAATGTGAATTCTTTTTCTATTGTCCAAGCTGGAAGGGTGGGAGAGAAATGACTGATTTTGGTGACTGATTTAGGGAAATGACATTAATCATTACAGAAATTTTGTCCTGCTTTCCTGAGTTGGAAGGAAAACTGTAGTGAAGTGTGGATCTAAAAAAAGAAACAAGTGCAGTGTCTTTCAGTCATAGGGGTGGCAGAAATCATTAGTCCAATCAGCTTGGTAACTGTACAGGTGATTTTCCTTTTTTTATCTTTTATCTTGGTTTGGATTTTACTTTAATTTACTTGCATGAAAAATACTTCAGTGTGTGTTGTCTTTGTTAAAGAATTATAAACGCGTGTGACGTGAGAGATATTTAACTGCTTACGAAGTGTACTATTCAGAGTAAGAATAAAAAGGGGTAATTTAATTCTTAAACTTTAGTTTAAGAAACAAATTTTTTTTGTTCATGGTTTCAGGTATCTTCTAAATAGTCAGCATAAAGAGTGCTCTTGTTCTAGGCTTTCTTAGAGTCTTACTTTTGGTGTTTATGCATGTTTTCTCTGAGGCTTCTTTCTAGTATCTTCTACCTGCTGTGGCATTTTTCTGTCCTAGAAACAGGGATATCTTTCCCATTGAAGAACGCTTTGTGACTACTCATAGAGTTCAGATCTTTAGTACCACTGGAGTTTCAGTTTGGGAGGCTGGAGACTGCTGATAGCTGTTAGCTAAAGGGCAACTGGGTGGCTAATGCGATGGCACCCTCCTCTATCCACACTGATTCACATGCTTTGTTGCAGTGACACTGCAGTAGATGCCTGTTCTGCTTGGATGATATGGTGTAATGATTGCTTGAAGGATATCTCTGCTTCCTTCCCAGATGAAACCTTGCAAAACACCTTCCTCTCAAAACACAGATCATAAAACTATGTCAGTAAATACTGGAGTGGCATGAAGTTTAGATTGCAGCTTGTTTGTTGAGACTTTTTCGGTTTGCTTTTGAGAGCAAAGCTGCATTTTCCTTTGCTTCTAGGGTTATAAAGTCAGTTTAAAATGTGAAGGGGTGATCTACAGCACCTCCATATTAATAACATGTTTGTAAAGCAAGGTACAGCTTACAGAATTCAGTATGTTTTATTGTAATTGAGTTTCACAATTGATAGGAAATCTTAGCAGAAACTGAACTGCAGAGATGGAGGGAATGAAGATGGAAGTCTTTCCCAGGTAGACTTAACAGAATTGTCTCTAATGAGGCTCAAGTAGGCATGTACTATCAAGAGATGTTACAGTTTCTATACATTTGACATAACCTCAAGAATTTTCCTCCAAATTCCTTTTTGTAGACAAAAGCGTATGCTTAGAATTTGGCAAGGCAATAGCTTTCTTCTGAATGTAGTGAAGGAATAGATTTGTGTGTTACTGCTGCAAAACTCAATTACATATTCAGTTGATACTTGTAATAAACTGTGATTGCAAATGTAGTCTTTCGTTACCTCTTTTGTGTTGCTTGAATTATTGTAAACCATTTTAAATGGAACGGAGAGAAAAAATGGTGCTGATTCAAGTGCCAGTTTTCAGATGCTGTGTCTGGTATTTTCTGGCAAGATCCTGCAAGAAGGAAGTGCTTTGTAGTCAGTCATTAATAGCTTACTGTGACAGATGTTTAACTTAGTTATGGTTTCTTTTGGATCCTTGGAATCTAGAGTCATGACTACTTCTTATTATTGTTCTGGTTTAGAAATCCTAATTTTGCAAAATGCTTTTATTCTTTCTCCAATATTTTAATTTATGCATACATATTACTTGTATTATCACAAGGTGGTTTTCTGAAATTGCCACAAATTTCTCCTTTTAAGCGAAGTATTGTTGTGAATGCTCCCAGAATATTCTTACTTCCCATAAGTCTGTATGTTTCCACTTTTACAAGTCTTCTGAAAAGCACATCTTGAAATCTGGATACAGCCATATTTAAAGAAAAAAAAAAAGAAAAGAAAAAAGAAACTCCCATATAAAAAAACTGAAAACATATTGTCATGTTTGCCCTTTTGCAGCCAGAGGGAATTTCATGTCTTAAGAGGACATACACATTGTGAGCACCTGTAATGCTACAGTTTGTTTAAAATGTATCCAGCAGAAAGTGCTTTTAAATTGTAAATAAAAGATGTCATTTTTTTGTTACTAACACTGAGGGAACTAGCTGCAGCTACTATCGCTGTGTGCCAGATCTGTCACAAGACTTTCTATTGAAAATTGGCTGAAAGTTTACTAAAGTTGTGTTATTTGACATCTCTGGTTCAGAATCCACACTTCATGAGATCTTCATCTGTTACTTGTTACACAAAGCATCAAAGAGCATCAACATGAAAGAGCTGGGTATTGCTTTGAGATTTTCGTTTTGTCTGCTGCCTTCCTTTGGTAATGTTCAGGATACAGTGAACCTCTGTAACAGGAAAACACAGTAATGGTTGACAAGCTTCTGTTTAAATTGGGCTCGATTTGGTGCTATTCCAGACCTTTGACATACCAGAGTAGTCATGTTAAGTACAAATCATGAGTTAGTAGGATAAACAAGCTATGTTGTTGTAAAGAGTCATGTAGACTATGAAAACTGTCTAAAAAGTGTTCAAAAGACTGAACTAGGCTGTAATAAGCTTTTTCTTAACTGTCTTGTCAACCTTAGCATATACAGAGGGCAGTACCTAGCAATTACTAAAACCATTGTATTTAGAAAATCCAGCACTCAAAAGTTCAGAATTTCTTATTACTTAATTCAGAACCTCCTCTAACTGTGTTTGTTGCAGCGTTTTGCTGTGTCTCATTTTCTTCTTATCCTGCACTCCAAAGTTTCATTTACCTTTCCCTCCTGTAGTGAAAAACTTTTCCTCCTGTAACAAAGTCTTGCAGATATCTCCATTGCATAGTTCTGCTACATCAATCCTTAACTGTGGTTGAGTATTGGAGCCTTTAGATGCAGCCCACTGACCTCTTGACAAAGTGATAAGCATCTGAAAATAAAGTTTACCATAGGAAGTGTCAGTACACCTACATTTGGTGTGCTGAACTCTTCATAATATGTTTTAAAAATTATATTAAGCCATCAATTTTCTGGCAGTCTTGATTAACTTAAAATGAGCTTAAAAGATATATGACTCTTTTGACTAGGGGAGAAGCTAGTATTCAACTCTTTTTTTGGGGGGAAGGGATTTTTTTTTTTGTCGTGTGGTGGGTTTTTGTTGTTGATTGCTTTTGTAGATAATTGCCAGTTGGAGAGGGGGTTGGCTGAATGGGATAAAAATGCAGTTAACTGAATGAAGGTGTGTAGACTTGCTTTACGTTAGCAGCAAAGCTCATAATTCCTGGCTTCTTTTTTTTTCCCCCTTGAAGAAACTCTGAGTTGCCAAGTGGTGGCTACTGTGAATTTGATGTACAGAAGATTTATATTAGAAGAGTTACTGTTAGATCTTGGCCTGCTACGTTTTGTAAGACAATTTGTGTGTGTTAGTTATGACAGAAGCTAATTACAGTGGATTAATCGGCTCATTTAATTATGTATATTCATAATAGGTAAAATTGAGCTATTCTAAAAATGCAGAATAACTGCTAGTATTTTGAGAAGGCAAAATGGAAATCAAGATGAAACCATGACAGCTCACAATTTTAACTTTTGATTTTTATAAAACTCTTATTAAATGCTGCCAATGAAGTTTTTGAATGTAAAATTGAAACAGTAGCTAGCAAAGCACTTACTAAGTGTTTAATTTTACTTATGTGAGTGATGCTGGATATTTCAATTGGGCAATTCACCTCTCTAGAATTAAAAGATGTGTTGAACTACTTTGCTTATTCAGTGATTAAGTCAAAGAAAAAAACTTTGTACATGCAGGCAGCAAATTAGGAAGCAGCTTTGCAGATATGAGACATATTCATGCCCTAGCAACAAAGAGGGTTTTAAAAGGAAATATTTTATTAAAGGTAAAAAAAAAAATAAAATCTTGACTAGAACTCATGAAATTAGACAGAAAAGTTAGCTCCTTGAGGTAGTTTCTAAAACATCAACATAACAGCTTAGTGCAAAATTGCCAGAGTACACTAAAGAATTTTTTTCTTCCCCCACTGTGTTATATAATGTCATAACATGTTCCTCTTCAACAGGAATATCATGAGAAACACAAAATTCCTTTGTTGAACATAAATGAACAAGCAGTTATTACAGTAATATACAAGGGTATTCTGCTTTTTGACCCATTTAAATACTAACTTCTGTACCTCTTGTTTGCAAGATACATGAAGCCATGTTCCGCATTTCAAATTAGTACGCTCTATTGTTGTGGCATTTCATCAGTAACTTAAATTTTAATTTTATAGGCATATTAACTGCAGTAACCAGAGGTCTAGTTCCATGAGATACCTTTTTTCCTTTTTTTTTACTTTAGTTTATAAAGTACTGCTTATTTGCTGGAAACCCCCTGGTGTGCAATCTAGTATGTTAAATGCAGTGTGATTAGGAGAGATGTAGCCCAAATTTCTTGGCAGTAAAAGCCTGGATAGTCCCATTCAGTTTTGAAGCAAGTTTCTTCTTGCTCAGTTGCAAAACTATCAGGTAAATTTAAGGATTGTGGTTGCAGGACAGATTAACTAATACGTTGTGTCTCCTAAGAGATTAAGGGAGCCAATGCAGTGACAGTCCTTAGTATCTCAAGTTTAATTTGAGATGCCTCATGAATCCCCAGTGTCACCCTGATGGGACTCAAAAATGCTTGAATGGTGCAGTGGGGTGTAAAGAGAAAAGGAAAGACTAGGCTACAGTGAAATTACTCTTCCATTCTCAGCAACCATATACCTCAGTCCTGGTTTTATGACGTTGTTAAGAAGTAAGTGTAATACTTATCTCTGTAGTCTCCAGTACTTAAATGCATGGATGCAAGCAGATGTTCTGTTTGTTCTTTTAGTGAATTAATCTTAAAATGTCAGTCTGAAGCAAGGCTGTCACTTCAGAATGTATTTAAAGTATTTTCTGTGCAGCTAGCTGAGTTATTTTGTGACCTCAATTCATGGTTGTGGTGTTTTATTTTCCTAACTTTTTTTTTTGCTAGTATGTGTATTTTTTTCTAACAGTCTAGTATATGGTGGCTGCAGCTCAGAGTTGGACTGAAATAGTAGGCTATATTTTTAATGGTACTTTCTTAAAAATTTTTGGATTTTGTTTGAAGAATTCTCTATGACATACACAGTGTGTCTGCAATTTAAATCACTAAATACTCAAGGATTCTATGCAGTGGCTCTCCCTTTTTGAGGGCATACCATATGTTCGGTTATAGCACTACAGGTAAAGGTCAGAGACTTCTTAGATGTGAGTTGCTAGCAAGACAGAATTCCATTATTTTAAATAATAGAGGAATGCTGTTGTGTGTACGTCGTTACTAATCCTTGTGCGTCTTGTTCAATCATTCTAGAGCTGATAGATGTCACGTGTACCCTGCTGCTGTTGAACCCTGACTTCACCACTGCTTGGAATGTGAGGTATGTCATACTCAGTGAAGGACATAGAAATTACTGAGCCATCTGTCAGCTGTAAGCTGTGTTTTCAGTGATAATTAGTGACACACTAAGAGCTCTTCAGCTAAGGAGTGCTGAAGGAATGTTAGAAATGTCTTCTGTCCTGCATGTCTTACAGATGGTTTCAGACTGCTTTTTTTTTCTTTCTCTAGGTTTTTTTTTTTGTTTGGTTTGGTTGGTTTTGGTTTCCTTGGCACTGCAGGTGAAAGATTACACCACTGTATGTGAAGGCACATGTTTGGCCCACATTTCTGGGGGCTCTAAGTCCTATTGAACTGCCACTCCTCTTTCATTCTGTGACTTAAGGAAGTCCATGTGTAGCCTTTAGATGGGCATACGCTTTTCACTGAATCATGTAGATGTCTGAATCAATTGATGTCTGCTTTCTTCACTGTAGTAATTTTACCACTGTGTGAATATTCATACTTGAGTCCTTTTGTGATAACGGTTCAATTTGATGTCATTACCCCTGCAGTTTATCAAAGCTGAGCAGCCCTCTGCAGCTATCCTTTATTCCAGATAGATTTTCCCTCACCCTGCTCCTTTCTTGTATCTGTTTTGATTAGTCTAGCATCACCATTGGTCATGCTGCATCATTTGTCCAGGAGTCATCATGGAGGAGAAACAGGAATTTACCTCCTTGCTCTTAATGGAGCCCAGAAGCAACAGTTCTTTGCAAGTCTAGAGTCTGATAATTTGTGTGTAAATCTCAGAGGTAGGGAGAAGTTCTCTTCCTGCTGCCTAGGTAAGACTGGAGACAGGCTTAAAAGAATAGTTTTAGAAGGGCTGAAGGGCTTGCAGAAAATTATATGTTAGTGTGTAGGAGGGCAGTCATTAAAATAGTACTTTCCTTGTTAAGATGCATTAGAAAAATTGATTGCAGTATGAAAAGTCAACAAAATAACCTAGAAAGATGGTTGCTGCATGTAGCTGTCAGCCCTAGAAAGGACAAATTCAGCTTTTTTTTATTTTTTCCCTTTTTTCGCTGCTGGTGTAGTTCTGAAAGATTCTGCTGTGATCTGTAACTCTGTAGCATCTCAGGTGTAAGGAAGGGGAATGAAATTGGTAACAAAGAGCTTACTGTCATGACAAGGTATATAGCTTGAGTAGTTTTCAAGTGCTAAAGTGGAATTGTGAACATGTACAAGTACTAGAGCTACTACGGTAATGTAGTCTTGTGGTACTTAAAGCTGAATGCAGGTCTTTGGTTTAGGTTTTGAATTTTTTTTTTTTTTTTTTTAATGCAGATGCATCCGCGCTTACCAGTCTGTTTTTTTTTTTTTTCCTGTCTGACAGTGGAAAGAGTTTGCATTTATGTACCTGAGAAGAATAGTTCAAAGTTCTAAGTAGAATTAAAAAAGTTCAGGAATATGGATGAGGATTGTTTTCCCTTTTATGGTGTTTATAGTTTACACAAGTATACAAAGTACTACAGAAGGTGGCCTTGCTCCCCAAATTCTCAGTCAGTGTCCTGGCTGAGTGTTTGTCATTAAAGCTCTGTTTAGCATTCATAGAGAAATGGCTGTTACACCAGCCACTAGAGTTTACCACTGAGCCTGCTCTAGCCAAGGGGCTGCTTTGCTGAATCTGACCCTACATTAGTTTAGGCTGCAGCTGGGAGTTTGCTCTTTTGAAGAGTAAATTTACTTTAAATATGTGTGAGCCTACTTATTTACAGTTAATGGTTTAATATATAAAGAACAATTTCTTCATGAAGAGTTTAAGTTTTGGGACATAGGTGGTCTGGTAATCTAAATCCTTATTAAATATGTGCATGTATTTATTTTGAGTACTACACTGATCGAGGCTGCTTTTTCATTGCCCATGTAGTAATTAATTTTTACCAAGATGTCACCTTGTGCACTGCAATAATGGAGCTATTATTCCACCTGCTCCAGTGTTGACATTCCCTAAATATTTCTCTTGTCTGCTTTACAAAAGTCAGTGCACTGGCACTGAACAGTCTAGTGATTCTGCAGCTCCTGGCTAGTATGCCTGAATTTCCTGTTGAGTCCTGCTAAAAGCATCCAATCTGAAGCGTGGTGCAACTTGATTCAGATAAAAACAAATGTCCCTGTAGGCATGTTTCTGATCTCGGTAGACAGTTCTTTACTAACGTCACTAAATACTAGGAGCAAAACTTCCTTAAGGAACTATTTTCAGATGTACAGCATGATCTAAGAGCATAATTTCAATAAGGAATGTTTAGTCGTATGTGTAACCTTATTGGCAGCCCTTGTATGAAAGGACCAAAAAAAACCCAAACAACCCCAACAGCAACAGAAAAAGAAAGCAAACTGAAAAAGCACTGCTTGTTTTATTAAAGTGCTTTTAGAATGTTCAAATCGTAGAATCATAGAATAATTAGGGTTGGAAAGGACCTTAAGATCATCTAGTACCAACCCCCCTGCCGTGGGCAGGGACACCTTACGCTAAATCATATCACCCAAGGCCTCATCCAACCTGGTCTTGAGCACTGCCAGGGATGGGGCATTCACAACCTCCTTGGGCAACCTATTCCAGTGCCTCACCACCCTAACAGGAAAGAATTTCCTCCTTATATCCAATCTAAACTTCCCCTGTTTAAGTTTTAACCCATTACCCCTTGTCCTGTCACTACAGTCCCTAATGAAGAGTCCCTCCCCAGCATCCTTACAGGTCCCCTTCAGATACTGGAAGGCTGCTATGAGGTCTCCACGCAGCCTTCTCTTCTCCACGCTGAACAGCCCCAACTTCCTCAGCCTGTCTTCATACGGGAGGTGCTCCAGTCCCCTGATCATCCTCGTGGCCCTCCTCTGGACTTGTTCCAGCAGTTCCATGTCCTTTTTATGTTGAGGACACCAGAACTGCACACAGTACTGCAAGTGAAGTCTCACGAGAGCAGAGTAGAGGGGCAGGATCACCTCTTTCGACCTGCTGGTCACTCTCCTTTTGATGCAGCCCAGGATACGGTTGGCTTTCTGGGCTGCAAGCACGCACTGCTGGCCCATGTTCATTTTCTCATCAACCAACACCCCCAAGTCCTTCTCTGCAGGGCTGCTCTGAATCTCTTCTCTGCCCAACCTGTAGCTGTGCCTGGGATTGCTCCAACCCAGGTGCAGGACCTTGCACTTGGCATGGTTAAACTTCATGAGGTTGGCATCAGCCCACCTCACAAGTGTGTCAAGGTCCCTCTGGATGGCATTCCTTCCCTCCAGGGTATCAACTGAACCACACAGCTTGGTGTCATCGGCAAACAGGCATTACATATAGTTCCTTGACTTTCAGATTAGCAACAGAAGTTGTGATTGAGAGTCATACTCAAATACAGTTGACAATGATTTTTGGGTAGGTTTGGGAACCAATGTATGTGTCGTAGGTGTTCAGATTGAGTTAAAGTTCTTTGGTCGGAATTTATTATATTGGTCATGGTTGAATGGGGGTGTGTGTGTGTATATATATATCTCAATCAAAATGGAATAGGTTAATGCACCAAAGGCTTTTTAATAAGCTCCTGTAGTTTGACAGTGAAGTTCTATTGCAATACAAAGGAAATGCCATGCTGTTTGCTATCGGGATGTGTGTTCCATTTTCAGGTTACTCCTATTCATACAAATTAATTTTATTTTTTGTAGGAAAGAATTAATACTGTCTGGCACTTTAAATCCACTTAAAGATTTGCATCTTGGAAAACTGGCGTTAACCAAGTTTCCAAAGAGTCCAGAAACATGGATTCATAGGTTTGTTTACCTTGCCTTCTGTTGCCTCCCTAACTTAAATACGCTCCACCTTGTACTTGGATTAAGGAGAGACATAGTTGGAGGACATGTAGAAATGTACCATATTCTTTGAGACAGTCGTTTTAAAATACTGTTCTTTGGCTTTTGATTTTATACTTAGAACTAAAATCACATGCACCTTTTCCATTACTTACTATTTTAATGAACTTTGGAAGTGGGATAAATTTTCCTAAAGGTCCGTCATGTCTTCAGCACCTAAAACTTTCAGCCTTGAGAATTCGGACTCCATGGATAGTATGTTTTTGAGCATTGTGGGTTTCTCCCTCTTTCTCTGTTCCAATGTATCACTGTATTGCTTGTTTACTCAAAATTTCAAACAAGAATATGCAAAAGCTAATCTTTATAACCAAAATTGGGTTCTTCTCCATTCCAAGTCTTTCTGGCTTAGTGAATTTATTTTTATCATTTCTAACTTAAGCAATGTCATTGTCATCACTAGTAAATATTAAAATAACAGAGCACATTTTTGGAAAAGATAACTCCAGAATTACTTGGAGGCACAAAGCTAACCATCTCAAGTCGTGACTGAGTGTACGTAAAACAGCTGTAGCACAGCTGAGTGCTATATCTGTTGCTCAACTTTGTTTGTTTGTTTTTTTTTTTTAAATTTGTATATATGTGATTTTTTTTTTTCATGATATATTTTTCGCAGGATGACTCATCCTTTTATACACAGCCTTAAAGGGATCTGCATGTATAACACATTTAGAAAGCAGCTCACAATGTTTGCATTCCCATGTCCAGCATTAGGACAACTGCAAAGCTGATGCCTCAGTGATGGACTCTTATCAAAAACACAAATAAAACTTCAGTTGTGCTGATAACATGAATTTTTGAAAGAGGGAGTCGTTGGTAAACTCTTTTTGTGACCACATGACCTTAAAATTCTCAAATTTAACTTAGAATGTAGTATATGAAATACTCTTAGGTGTTTTTTAACTTATAAGCACCTAGTGAATTTCTGTTAATTTCTTTCTTGTTAGCACTGATGAATTTCTATTTTGAGTAAGTTAGAATGGTAGTTTCTTGATATTCATCTACATCTTGTAGAAATAATAAAAAAATCTAATTTCTATGCAATCTTAAATTGTGAATATTTTATTTAGTGTTATAATTTGTTCTTCCTTGTATTTGCCTAAACCAAAAGAGTATATTTGAGGGCGATTGTAAAAATGCTTGGCTTGGATTTTGACGTGCTGACTATTATTTCTCATCTTATTTTCTATCACACAGAAAAAAATTTCTTTCTGCATCAGCACAGTAATTAATCTAATGTTTTCTCTTTCCCCGTTGTACCAAATTTCAGGTGGAAGTGCAAAAAAATAGGATGAGGGAATTACAAAATTTGATAAAACATACCCAATTTTTTTTTTCTTTTTACACATGGCAGATACATTTGCTAAACATATCAAAGTACCTTTCATACGTTTTGCTATATGGCCTTTTTACTACTGGGGAGGTTTCAAATAGATCTTGTGCATATACAGTCAGTATATTTATGGATTGTGCAGTTGTCACTGAATAAGCCTGTGTTAATTTGCAGTAATTCCAGGAACTGCAGTAGTAATAGGAACATACATACAGTGACAGAATAAATTGGATTTTTTTTTTTTCCAGCTCTATTGGAGGAAATGTTTTCTTAAAACATTATTTCTCTTAAATAATACCATGATATTCAAAAGGCACCCAAAATACATTTTAAATTTTATGACGTTGTGCTGGTCTTTTTTTCCTTCCATGCAAAAAGTGTAGAAAGTAGTTTAGATTTAATTTCATATTTTTTTTCTTTTGTTGTAGTGACAGAGCCTGTAACGCCTCTATTTTTTTCCCACATGCTCCTGTATATGTAATTTATCTTCATTCCTTATTTTGTAAAACATCCTTATTTCAAGAAGTGGAGATATTTTGGGGCTCAAAATAATTTGGCTTTCTGTGGTTTTACTGAGAAGTCAATGTTAATGCAACATTTATGTTTTGTTAAGGGAATGCCTCATTTACTCATTTATCTTTCTTGCCTAGACATTTTTAAGGTATACCACTTCTTGCAAGTCTGCTGATTGAAGTGAAAATATACTAGGTGGTGATGTTTGTATCAAAGACATTTTTAAAAAGCAAAAATTAAGTCTTCAAATTTACCATGTTACATAAAGTTAACAATAGTAAAAAATTATGCTATGTTTGGCTGTACATCTTTAGTTAAAACAATTCTTACATAGGAAGCCAGTATATGAACACAGACTTCAGTCTACTGTTAGTGACTTCTTCTGTGTTTAAAAATTACATTCTTATAAATTATCATTAATACTGTCTTCCAGTAGTTTAAATCTTTTTTTTTTCTTTAATAACCAGTAAAAGACACAGTGTAAATAAAAAACACCAGCCACCAAGAATATTATAAATGTTTTCAAATGAGAGAAAAAGCAGATGAATTACAGCACTTTTTTAAGTGAGTGGTTAGCTTACTGATTTTTTTTTTTTAAATTGTTTATATATATATATGCAGTTTTACATATTATTTGCAAATCCAAGGTATCTTTTTAAAGAAAATTATTATTTTTAAGTATTATTTTCTTTTAGCAGGAGTGACACCTTTCTGAAAGTAGCAGTTAATTGGTTTTGGTCCAGTATGAGCCAGTACAAACCAGAAAAACCTCTGTGTCACACACCAGAGGATAGGATATCCAGGTTTCCAGAACGTTCTACAGGAACCCCACCGTGTGCTTATTGTGGTCACTTAAAATTAAATATGCGTAATTGAGCAATAACAACTATTTGTTTTGCTTATACCTATAGCCCTTGAGACTGTGAGTCTTTTGCACTTTCTTTCTGCTGTACATCTGGTGATGTACAGAAACTAATTTGGCTTATTATGTGCAGTGCTGATAAATATGAAAAATACAAAGCACATTTAATTTTTTCTTATTGAATCACTTTCTGTCTCATGTTGAATACTTTAGTGCTATACAAGTCTCTGAAAGAGAAGCTCATTAGAAATCGCATGTGGCCAGTTCTTGCTTTTTTTTTTTTTCTTTAATTTGCTGTTTCCTTCTGTTTTCTTTCAGTATGTGGTAAGTAGCCATGATGATTTACAGGGAGTGAATAGATACAGCTAGAGATAAATTATTTTGGAGTGTGATAATAAAGTCATAAAGTGTGGGAAGACTTCATTTAGTTCGATTTTAGTACTTATTCATCATCTAGTTACAGTTTAGTTCAGATAATTAAAAGAAAGGTTTGATTGATTTATATAAATGAAAAAAACTTTTTTTTTTCCCCTCCTAAAATTGCTCTCTCACCATTAACACTATACATCGTTTAACTAGACGATGGGTGCTGCAACAACTCATTCAGGAGAACTCCTTGCCCAGTCTTGTGACTAAAGGAAACTTGGGAGCAGCACCTGTGGAGAGAATTCACCGACTAGTGCAGGAAGAAATGAATGTCTGCTCTGAAGCTGCTGGGAGATACCCAAGCAACTACAATGCCTGGTCCCATCGCATCTGGGTTTTACAGCATTTGGGAAAGCTGACTGTCAAGGTATAGTATAATAGCGAATAAATTCCTATTAGAGAAAGAGATAATACATGACAGATACTATTTTGATAATATAATGCAATGTCTCATTTTGATAACCTTATTCAGCTTTTCTGTGGTTTCAAAATATTGGAAGATTAAATAAAGCCAGCAGGAATTTCAGAGAAAGTGTAGTAGTGCCTGTAATCTGTTTCTACAACTCCAGTGGTATCTTTTGGCAGCATTTAAACTGAGGCCTGACCAAGCTATTTCAGTACTAGCAGGGACAAACATCTATGGTGGCAAGTATTTCAGATCACATGGTAGTATCTAAAACATGGCAACCTGCAGCAATTCGAAATATTTCATGTGACGTGGTCTCAAATTATATAGGTGGTTTCATAATCCTGTGTTTTCTAATCTGTTAGGTGAATTCCTTGTGAATATTAGGCTGATACAGTGACGTCACATTTTTAATGGAAGCCTCTGCCTTCTGCCATGCTGTAAATACGTAAGAGAGTGAGGAAGAAATTTAGTGGAGGTCGTTGAGTCAGTATAGCCATTATTTTTGCATTATGGGCCAGCTACTGCTAACAACAGATATGGTTTGACTGATGTTTCTTGTTGTCACCTGAGAAACTTTAGGAATAGCTGTATCAGGTTAGTAGTAAATCACAAGTATGTTCCAGACTCCATGAGGGATACAGACCAGAATTTGGATTTCTCTGCTTATCAAGTCTGTGTCAAGTTATCAAGTATACTTGTATCAAGTACGTGTGTGGTGTAACCTCAGCCAGCAACTAAGCACCACACGTTTGCTCTCTCACTCCCTCACAGTGGGATGCGGGGAGAATCAGACGAGTAAAAGTGAGAAAACTTGTGGATTGAGATAAAGACAGTTTAATAGGGAAACGGAAAGCAAAAGCTGTGCTCACAAGCAAAGTAAGGCAAGGAGTTAGTTCATCGTGGGCAGGCTGGTGTTCATCCATCCCCAGGATAGCAGGGCTCCATCATGCATAATGGTTACTTGGGAAGATCAGTGCCATCATTCAAAATACCCGCCTTTCATTCTTATTCCCCCATCTTTATATGCTGTGCATGATGCCATATGTTCTGATGTCTCGCTGGGGTCAGCTGTCCTCCCTGTGTCCCCTCCCAGCTCGTTAGACACTCCCAGATCCTTGCTGTGGTGTGAGGAGCAGAACTCTTGAGGCTGTGTAAGCAGTGCTCATCAGTAACTAAAACTTCTCTTGAGTTATAAGCACTGTTTGCACCACAGATCCAAAACATAACCCCATACCAGCTACTATGAAGTAAATTAACTCTATCCCAGCCAAAACCAGTGTGTTTGAATATTTTAAAAGCATGTTAAATTTCACTGAGACACAAGACCGGGACTGTGCTGAAAAAGCAGCAGTCATTATGATTCTGTAACAATTTAGTTCTTACAAGACTAACTTAAATTAGGGATATTCTATATTATTGAAGGCCACATACCTGCTTTAATACAAACTTTGTTTGAGGTAGTATTTCTTACAGTGTACAAGGAACCAGGCTCAGAAACATAATGTGTATGTTGTATTATCTTTGAAGTAAGAGTTCTCAAAACAGGTTTATCATTTTGAAAACCTGCTTTGGAGGATTTTAGGGGGTAGGTTGTTGAATAGATTTGTTTTGTGTGGCTTGTTTTGTTTTGGTTGGTTGGTTTCTTGTTTTTTTGGTTGGTTTGTTTAGTTTTTTGGGTTTTTTGTTTGTTTGTCTGGTTGGTTTGGTTTGTTGATGTTTCTCCTTTGGTTTGGGTAATCCTAGTGCTTCTGCAAACTAAATTTCAGTTCAAACTCTGCGAAGAAAGTACAGAAGGAGAAAGTTTGGGCCCTATTGTCTTCTCACAGCATACAGATATTTCGTCTTTATTACACTAGAGAGTAAAAGATTCTTATTTGAATATAGGAATTTGGATTTGTTTTTCCTACAGAATTTGAACCACATTAGCAAGTTTACGTAGCGTTCAAATAGTGTTCATTAAGATCAACTGAAGATTTGTCAATAGCGGATTGCTCCAAATCTAATCTAATCTTTCTGATATTGGAGTAGTTGCCTCCATAAAAGACAAGAAGACTTGACTTCAGCTCTTTCATGTGATAGTTCAGTAAGCTAATGGGGGAAGAACACATGCTAAAGATACCTACTGGTAGGTAGATGTGAAATGAGTCAGAGAACCAGAGTAAGACAGTAATATCAGTGTAGTCTGTAAAAAGTCATATACATTGACACGTCAGAGAAACCATGCAGGTACAAAAATAGGATGTAGTTCAGCAAGGACAGGCAAACTTTTTTGTTTCCTTTAGATAGGAATACTCGGCTTCAGAGCATGGTCATTGGCCAGGCCCTGCGGTAAAAAGGCAAGCAAAGAAACAAGTAGTGGGGTGATTGCCATAATGCATCACTTCTCTTGTGTGATGCCAGGAAAAGAGAAGTATGTTCCTAAGACACAAAGTAATTTTTCCTTTAGACATCACCAATAAGGCTGTGGCTTTTTCTTAGATAACTGGACCTCCAAAGGCATCTTTCATGTGAATGGAAATTGCCGTATTTACCTGGTTATCCTTGAAAGTTTTTTTCCCCATATGCAGTTCCTTTTCATTTCTCCAGTGTTCCAGTCCAAGGAGGAAGCTTTGGGCTGCACATTATGGTGGGTAAACGCTTTCAAAAGCAAGCACAGGGTGAGGGAGGGTGTAAGAGCATGTGCAGACCCACAGGTTGAGGCAGAGGCTAGTGAGTGAGTGGCTGTTTCCTATTCTGGAGTGGGATGCCAGTTTCATGGTACTTGGCCCACCACTGAAAGTAGGAGAGAGCACTTTGTAAAAGGTGGTCAAGAGTGGGGAGGGGGGTGTTTTCATATAATTTCCTCTTTGCTTCAAAGAAGAATGGCAAAGGGCTTGTGCTGTTTGGTGTGAAAATGGAGAAAACTGGCTTGGTAAGAAAGAACCGCTGCTGGAAGTCAGATGTTAGCTGGCTTTTTGTTTCATCTCCAGTTGTTTGAAGTATTTTCTACTGTTACTCTGAGGTTTCTAGAAGAGAGGTGCTATTTCCTCCCCCCCCCTTTTTTTTTTTTCCTGTATGTCTCGCAAGATGTAATGGCAAATCTGCTGTCGTGCTCATGTAAAAGAGGTTTTCTAGTTCAGGTAGAGTAATACAGGGAATCATTCTATTTTGTGCAGGGAGTTAAAATACATAATTACACTATTCCCCTGTAACTTTTTAATTCATAAACGTGTTAGGTAAGTGAACCAGATTGTTCAGAGATTTAATTTAGGTATAATGCGCATAGTGCCATATCCAGCTGAATAAAGACTGGTTTGATTTTTCTGATGTTGCTGTTGATCCTTACTTTGTTTTTAATAGGCTTTTAAATTTTAGCGCTCAGAAATCTAAAATAGTAAGCGCTGTCCTACTGAGAATAGAGAAGCTGATCTTGTGGTTTAAGATGCAAACTGGAGATGGGGAGGTTTAGTGCTCTTAAGAATACCCTGTGGGCTGTTATTTAATAGTGCACTTTGGTTTGCTGATCTGTAAAACCAGGATGATTCTGGTATCTCTTGGCAAGACCTAAAAAAACATGTTGAGTGTCTCAGGTAGAAGGTGCTATTTACGCTGTTTGTGTTCTCATAGTTTTTACAACAGCCACACCACAAAAAAGGTGTATAACTAGCCTTCCATATTTCCATGGTTTTCTTTGTGGGAGCCTGTGCCTCTGATGCAGCAGGTTTAAAAAGAAATACTTGTGCCTATGGAAGTTGCTTTGCATCATCAGCTGGTCGTGTTAAATGATGTACGTAGCTTAGAAAGGAGATTAAAAGCAAGATTATAACCAGTAAGGTTTTTATCCAAAGTCTTCAGAAGTAAATGAAAAAGGTAGTTTTGATCTCCAGATCTGGAGATCAGACTGGATAAACTCCAGAGGAGGAGCAATGTGAGGAAAAATGTTAAAGCTTTTAAATAAATATGACCATTACTTCTAATAAATAAACTAAAGTAAAAGAAGCTTTGCCTGGTACCCAATCTCACGTGTCTTCCCAGAAATAATTTTTGAAGGTTTAAAAACATTAAGAGTTAAGAGAAACTTGCTAGGTTCCAGCAGTGTTAGCAGTACAACTGTACTCACCTGTGTAAGTATTTAACACAGTTATTGTGAGAGCTTTTCCAGGAGTGTGTTTTTTTCACCAACTACCAAGTCAAGCAACTTAGTTAAGGACAAATAGTTTTGTATTCCACAGGTTCTAGGACTTGAGGACTTGGAACATTGTGTTAGTGGTTGACATTATTTCCTGGAAAATGAAAGTAAATTATTTTAAATCCTCTTCCTTTTTTCTTTCTTTTTTTTTTTTTTTAAGCTCGCCCACTCTCACCCATAATGCATTAGGCAAAAGTAAAAATACTTTTAACTAATATCCATGTAGTGTGTTGTACCTTCTGCCTCCTCTAAATAACTGTTCAGAGGTTCATAAACCACTGCTTATTTCTCATCATTAGTGGTTTGGGTTTTTTTTTCCCCTTCATCCTGTGTGAAGGCTTCTGAGACACCTGCCTTTTCAGAGTTTGGAAGAAGTGTAATTTCTTTTGTGCAGGAATGCCAAGGTACTTTTTAGCATGCAGTAGGAAAAGCTTAGTGATACTTCATTTTTTAAATGTGTTTTTAAACCATTGCCACAGTGGCTGAAATCCCCAGAGAAGAGATTGCTTTAATATAGAAATGGTGGTAAATTTCTCCTTTATACTAATTGGTAACTGTCGCTGCTTTTTGTTTCAGGTTCTCCTTGATGAACTTTCATCCACCAAGTATTGGGTATCCATGCATGTCTCAGACCATAGTGGATTTCATTACCGCCAGTTCTTACTCAATTCGTTGATAGGCAGAACTGTGACTGACAATAATTTACTGTTACAAAATCGGATGGTAAATGTGCAAAACCCTAGCCTTCTAAAGGAGGAGGAGAGTGCAGGGGCAGCAGCTGCCTGTGCAGAGGATCAGAGCGTGGATCTCCCCCGCTGTTTAGAGGAAGAGTTGGAGCTCTGCACTGAACTGATTGATACTTACCCAGGGCATGAAACCTTGTGGTGTCATAGGTAAGAGGACTTGGTCAAAAGAGTGTCCTTCTGGTTGTGGAATGTGCTTTGCGTGATGTTTCTAGACAAACCGTTGCTCTGATTTTAAAAGGTACCACCCAGGAAAAGAGTTACTTGTTGATGTAAGCTCTGCTTGACCCTGTAGTTTGTGCAAGAGACACAGGATACTGTTGATCAGCCTAAAAATGTTTAAAAGGCAAAAGATAGGCAGAAGATGGATCAACTGCAGAAAACTGCTGCTTTGCCAGCTAAGTTTTTGTGCTTGAGTAGGTAACAGCAGATTTGCCAGAGTGACACCGAGTCATTTTTGTGTAGAGTGTGAGCAGTGACTGCAAATTTTGTCTTGGGGGTGGAATCTGGAAGGGTGGCAAATGAACTGAAGCAGTTCAGCAGCAACAGCAGATTATTTTCAGTATGTGACTTTTTATTCCTTTCTTTTTTTTCCTTCCTTCCTTTTAACCTGAAGAAGGTGTGTGTTCTACCTTCAGCACCACCTAAGGAACAGACTTCCTCTTCTGAGTGCAGTGGTATCATCTGTGGGCAGCAATGATGAAACATTGAATAATTCCCACTACAGTACTGCGATAAGTCACATGGCACAAGCTATGGATGTTGATGGTTTGAATGAATCCAACAGCAAACAAGTTTATACCCAGGAAACAAAACGCCTGAAACGTGCTCCTGTGCAGGACTCTTTTGGTCCAGAAATGGAATACCGGTTCATTAGTGAAGTATTATCCACTTGCAGGGATGTGGATCAAGCCAGGTTTGCTACTGCTTATAGGAAATGGTTAGTTACTTTTTTAGGTCAGTGAAGAGAGTGTTTAAAGCCTACAGGGTTCTTCTTTTAGTGCAATATTCTCTTTTCAGACACAAATGCATGTTTTGATTGCAAGTGTTAGCTAACCATGTGTTTTCCACTCTTTTAATGGTCAGTCTTAGAGTTCCTATTCAGAGTAGAAGTCTGTCACTTTATTAAAGAACTGGTGTAGTTTTTTAGTAAGCAGATACAGTTTGTTCCTTAATCTTTTCACCAAAGCATTCTGTGTCAGCTTCCTACTGTAACGTATTCTTATTTCTTACTTCTGCATTAAGGTGGACTCTGAATCGTTGGCTTTAAAACAACAACAATAATGAAGTGTGAGAGAAAAAAAAGTCTGAAATGCTTTTGAAACAGTGTCTGGAAAAAGAATAAGAGGATCTGTCTGTATCACCTAAACGTGTTTCCAGGTTGATCCTTTTTGCTATAGTGGCACCTTGCTAATACTTTATTGGATTCAAACTGTATGTGGTGAGTGCTATTACTTTTGTTTTAGCAGCCTTTGGTAGAACACCAGACTGCAGTGTTTCTTTCTCAAGGCTCTAGTAATGGTATTGGAGCCTTCTACTATGGTAACTGGGTTTTTGTTTGCTTACTAGTTCTTACATGATTTTGATAAGAAAGTCTATGAAGTTGAAATCATGAAAAGCAGATACAGGAAAATGTGGTAGAAAATAGTTCAAACACATGTTCACACTTACATTCAGAGCTGTATTTGAAAATAATTTTCTTAAACTGCTTTACCTTCATTACCTACTTGGTATTTATTTATTTATTTTATCTCAACAATCCAGAATTAATGACACTCAACACACATTTCTGAATTTATTACGTACACTACAGACTCTCAGCCTGCTAAATCACATCTTGCTAACTTGTCCTTAACTAAGACCACTTAAGTAAAATACGTGATGGAGTAAAAAGTAATTCTTCTGGTCACCGTACAATCCCAAAAGTAGTCACCAGGAGGGAGCTATCTCTTCACTTTTGTTCTCTTGGAGAGCTTCAGTCTTTGTTGGATTGTTTTTTCGTTTTTGTTCTGGATTGTTTGGGGTTGTTTGTTTTTGTTTTTGTTTTTTTTACTCTTCCTTAAAAGCACTTCTCCCACCATACATCTCTGTTTACGTAACTGTAAACTTTAAGGGAATTTGAAACATGTTTCTAGTCCAGTGAAACTAAACATGAATGGTTTATTTTGTCATTTTCTTGGAACTTGTCTATATAAGGGATTTTTTTTTTACACTAACTGAATGAATTGTGCTTGTCCAAAGACCCAGGGGATAAACTTTGTACAACTGTGTAAGTTTGTGTAATGGCAACGTCACCTGTGTTCCAAGCAGACTATTCACTGGGGATTCGATTTTCAAGCTAGACTCTTCGCCAAAATTGCTGTATATTTCTCCTGCCCAAAGTGCCTCCTGACAGTGCTGTTTCAAGCTGCTGTTTCTGACGGGTAGAGAGAGCAACAATGAGGGATTAAAAAACATAAGGTATTATTTGGAAAGAAAAAAGGCACTTGAAATGTGCAGTTCCAACAGTTCTAAAAAATTTGATGGATGGGGGTTACTCTTGCATTTCAGAATGAACATAGGCCACCTCTAGTCTTAGAGATTATGTTCATAACTCATTTCAGGCACCAGAGTAGCTAACAAAGACATTTCTAAATGTACAGTCTTCTGTTTACAGTACCTAGATAAGACTGACCTAGGCTTGAGTATCTCCATGGCAAAGCTTTGTCTTAGTGGATATCCACACCTGCCTCTCTATAGCTAGTGACCTATTACGCATGGCATTTTGTTTTGAGGTGCTTTGGGATGTTGTCTTGGTTGATGGTTTTAGTTGCAGAAGATTAAGTCAGTACATGAAGGAGGTGTGGTAGTGGCTTCAGATGCTAATTTCATCGTAAGATGTTGTCTCTGTGACCACTGACAAATGGGTAGGTTCAGTTACAAATTGGAGCCTGAACTTAAGAACTTAACTTGAGCAAGAAGTTTTACCCAGTCCACAGGACTTGACATGTAGCATGTATGGTAGCCTGGGTCAACTTGACTAACAGTATACCGTTAATGACTAGTATGAACCTGGGAAGCATTAAGTCAGCTGGCAGTGTATTAGGAATCATGCTCTTGGTCCCAGATTACTTCAACAGTAACACAGCTGTGTGTTGTGTTTACCTTAGCAAAACTTATCTGTTCACGAGAAAAATATTAGTAGCAGGAGCAGGCTGGGAACTGGGAGCAAGGTAAGAAATATTTCTTGAACTGTGGAAGGAAGGAGATGGTCTCTTCATGCACTAGAGTGATTGAGAGGTTTAGAGGAAAAGATCTGTATTAGAATCTGACTTGAAACCCATTATATATTTCTTCCGGAATATTACCTGGAGGCTTAGGTAGCTTTCTTAGAACTGTATCATGGAATTACTGTGCTGTTGAATTTTACAATCTTGTCATCATAAACAAATCCAGCAGCTGCCCTCATAAACATTTGATTCGTGTCAGCACAAGTTACGCATGCTTGTATAAATACAAGATTTGGTCCTGTGTAACTGAACAGAGCTGCATTCTATTTTCATACTTGGAAAATGTTCTGAGAGCTCTGATTAGAGTTGGTCGATGTTACTTACTTTTACAAAACATGGGTGGCTGCAGTATGACTCTTAACTATGGGTTTTTAAAGCCTACACCTAGTGGAAGTACTATTTATTTTTTTTAAATCCAGTGAGAATAGCTACATTTAGAAGTGTTTGCAGACTGGACTCTGCAGCACAGGAAAGTGAAAAATAAAAAATCAAACCAAGTCTTAGCTTTCCCTTTGAAAGAAATACAAACAATAAGCTGTCAAAATCACACTTTAATTTTTTCATTATAAGTATAGATTATATGAAAGAAGAAAATATGTAACTAAATTACTTCAAGCTGTCAATGTCCTGAAGCCACTTACATGAAATGATTGAAGAGATACTTCCCACAAATTACATTAAGCTCACAACTGTGGGATATTCTGGAAATATGGTCTTTGGAGCGTACCTGTCTAACCATTCAGTATTAATACAGAGTCCCACTTGGCCACTGCTGGGAGAAAAGAAAAATGGTTTCAGGCCATTGGTAGTTACATATATTACACATAAAGGTGATCGAGTACAGGTATCTTAACAGAATTGCAGTTGTTTTGTGTTTCAGAGGTCAGAGAATCATAATGTACTCGATGAACATTCTTGCAGAGAAAGTGTCCAACAGAAGCTGTAGAATACAAGTCTCTTACTTTATGAAGTTCTTTCAGATATAAAATCAAACTTTTACACCTGTAAAAGGCTTTATATGAAGCTCAGCATCTTTACTGATTTTGTCTTCTGCTGTAGTGTCATTTGAATTGATGCAAATTGGTTTTGTTCACTGGATTAGTCTTTGTAGGTATTTCTTTGTGCTAGAAACAAAGGGGTTTGAGAAACAAATGTAATCTGAAACTACAAATATTAGAATAGAAGGAATCACGTTTCTAAGAAGTTGAATTCTTTGCTGCTAAATACCTTCACTGTTATTTCCTTGGCATTTGGATTATCTTGTGTCTTACAGTCACTGGAGCAACACATGCAGCATTAAAGATAGCTACAGTAGCAACACTTGTTTGAAGTTGTTACTGGAATGCTTTACTATAGCTGCTCTGATTAATATTTGTTAATCTATTCATGCCTGCATATTAGTGTTCTGTTGACTTCTTACATGTCCTTTATACACTAAACCCTTGTGTCATTTAAAGAGTCAGAAAAGTAAATTGTTGGTTTATTAGGTTTGATTAATTACCTTATGTGGAACTTACTTAAAACAAATAAGCAAATTCATACTATAGTGAGAAAGCTTAGATTCTGTCTTACAAGCAAAATTTCTGGCATTTCCAGTTTTATCTTAGTGCTGCTTAATTAAAATGTGTAGGTAGCCTGTATGGACAGGAGTAAGTTGTTTGTTTGTTTGTTTGTTTTTCCTAGGTAGAGTATTAAAGAATTTTTAAAACAGTACAGTATGGTGTTGATGAGTAGAAACAAAGGGTTTTAGAAAGGCTTATCTGCATAGCCAGACTCAACAAGCATACTTCTTCAGAATAACATAATACAATGATCAAGATGTGACTACCGGAGAGCAATTTAAGTGATGAGTCTTCAGAGACTTGATGAATTTTTGGACAGACAAGGTTATTTGTTTAGTTTTGTTTTGTCTTCTGTGAGGGAAGAATGTTCCTTAGTTTTTTTTAATTTAGTAAGAAGTCAACCATTGCACTTAACTGGGGGGGGAAGGAGAGAGGAACCCCACAGTTCCTGAGTTGTATCTTTTAGAGCAATTTTGGAAAAAGAAGCAGTGAAGTGAAATGCAGATGTGACTTTTGTCCTGTTCTCATCTGGTGATGAGAGGTCTTTACAATTAGGTCTTACTGTTTTATTAATGTCAGATACAAAGGAAGGAGGGTAACTCACCTATTCTCAAACGCACTTAACTTTAAATTGGTTTCAATGAAGTTCATTGTCCCTGTCTAGCGTAATTTGCCCTTTTTTCCCTTGTGTGATCAGGGGTGTGTTTACATCTCAGCCTCCTCTCTGTTCTTCTAACCAGCAAAGAAGCATGTAGCAAAGCACTGGTGAGGTGGCTTCATTTTGTGTTTAGCTAGCTGACTACCTCCCAAAAAGTAGCTCTCATTGATGTCCTTAAGTGGAGTTCATCAGGCTTAGTTTTTTCAGAGCCTCATACTAGGCCTACATCCTCTTTATGGGGTGAAAAGTAAGACCTTTACCTATGAAGCCATCTAGTGTCCCCAGGAGAGCTTAAAGGAGAGGAAAAAATAAAAAATAAACTCTTGTAGTTAAGGTTGGGTAAACTAGAATTAGCATAAACCTTCATTAGCATGTTCCTCTGAGAAAGCAATGCATTGCTGAAAAATGGAGGAAGTATGTGCTTCCAAGAAATTCCTTGTAGACAGTTTATGCTTTTGAATTACAGACCAGACACTTTATAGTGGCTTTTTACTAGTGTGTAATGCTACTTCTCAGGGCATAGTGTACTGTAGTGAATTAGGGTACATTTTTACAGTTTACCGATTTAAACACAAAAAAAAAATGAAAAAAAAGCTAAACATATAATAACCAGCTTTTAAGGTTTTTGGTTATTTGTTTTTTTTTGGTCTAGGAATATGCTAATACTGTACCTAATGATTCACACTACACCTTTCATTCATCTATCTCATCTGCATCGTATTGTTATTCTGTATATTAAATTGCTGTTGCAGTCTTATGGGAAGCTCCTCATAGTGGCCGAGTTTCTTCTCTGAGTTCGCTAGTACTATTCAGTAAGGTAGTCACTATCTCACAAAGACGTAAGTTGTAATGATGGGGAAGCTTTTTATAGTATCTCTGATGCACTATGTATCTTAATTTATTTTTTTAAAGAACTTTTTCTAGGAGTGTGAATACAAAAATTGCAAAAGCTTTTAGTTGTTGCTAGCTGGCAGATGCTTATGTACAATACAGCTATTCTGAAGAGTAGGACGCAACTGAAGTCTAGTTTATTAACCATCTTTATCCGCACCATTTGTTAATCCTACTGTATATAGATGTAGGTAGGGAGAGCCCACAGTGAGGTGTATATTCTCTTCACGGTACACTTTCTTAACAGAATATATTTATGGTGTAACAAAGAGCATTTTTTGGGTAAGGTACACTTGTACATTCATTGTGAATAAGGATATGAAATTGGTACATCATTAATACAGTAAGATTTACTGAGTGCCTGTGTAGAATGGGTAGATAAATGTTTGGGTGTTTTTAAGAGAATACTACCTGTAATTGAAAAAATTACATAAATGATACAAGGTACCAGAACTTGTTTTACAAAACAAAATATATTTACACCTACTGTGTTCATTCCCTTTTGTTTTCTTTTTTGAAGTGGCTACATTTAAAACGGGGTAGTCATCTTGAAAAGTGTGCTTAGGAACGTTATCTTTAATTTCATGTAGTAAAAACAGTAGGCATCTTAAATGGTTTTAAATTCCAAGGTAGTGACATCACTACAATGTTCAAGTGAGCCAATAAACACTAATTTTCTAACACTCTCATGTCCATCAAAGTACTGTTCTGTATAGAAAAAAATGCTTATTTTATCAAGATACATGAAAAAATATTTCATTCTCACAGCTTTCATATTAGGGGGAAATACAGTTGGTTTAATATTTTGCAGTGCTTTTTCTATGAAAAATTCTCAGATACATAGTTGTGATCACTGGAAAATTTTTGTAGATTTCCAGTGCAGATAAACTAGAGAAATGGTAAATTTTGTGTCAGGAAACAAAATTATGGTAGGATAGTAAGACACTGGAAAGTAGTCTGATAAACAACCAGAGTTCCACAGGATAGTGAATGTAAAGCATTAAGTTTGTTTTCCACAGGTCTTACTTTGTCATGTGATGAGTTCTTTTTAGAGGGGGATTGTTTTATTATTTTTTGTTGTTGTTGTTCAGAGGGGATTGTTTTATTTTTTTTTATCATCAGTAGAGCTCTTATCTATGAATAAATTATTTATATTTATTCTCCAACAATAAGTGTTCATGTATGTTTGGGTGGATGGATGGGTGGCGGAACTGTATTTACGTCCTGTGCAAAAGGCAAAAATCTCCTGCGTATGGCTATATTCATATAGAGCTGATGATCTGTGAGCAGAACTCTTCTGTGGAAGACGTGTCCTAAGTCTGTATCTAGCAGGATCATTGCCAGTGTCAGCGTTTTTGATGAAAGCTTCTCCTGACTGGCTTATTTTGCCTCACTTTCATGATACTTGGGCTAGAGTGTGCATACCCATACCAAATGACTAGTTGTGTTTATTCAAAGTGCTCAAAGAGAGTGTTTGAGATGGTGAACTTGCAAGCTGGGAGAACTGAGAAGTGCTCAGGCAGTGTTCTACCTGGCAGATACCTTTCAGGAATCCCCCAGGAAGGAACAGACAGGCGTATTTTGGATGAAAGTGCTTATGCGTCACTAAAGACTGGGAGAAGTACGTCAGATACAAACTATCAACTGAAATTGGTATTCAAATACAAACAACAAGTAGTCTTTTTGGTACTTTATGTTCAATTTTTTTATGTTCTTTTTACAAAAATGAATCACATTAAAAAATATTTTTAACGTTACTCATAATTTTTAATGCCTTCTTATTTTGAATTACTGGATTTGAGAGCTCTCCTTAAAGGGCTCAGTTTTACCGGAAAATGCTAGCACCTTTTCTGTCTCCTATTACACAGTGTGATTCATTCCAAATTATCTAAAATGAGCACTTAGAACCACAGGGCATTTCTGAACATATTGCTCATCATCTTAAATACAAAATTTAAAAAAGCAAGGACATGTTCTGCTCATACAGGGTAGGTTGTTTGGGGTTTTTCTTTGTTTGGGGGTTAGGGTTTGGTTCTTGGGTTTTTTTTTTAGGGGTCGTTTTTTTTTTGGGGGGGGGGGGTTGGTTGGTTGTTTTTTTCATTTTCTCTTTCTAACTGGTAGAACAGAAGGTAGAATATGTAAGAAGGCCCTGAAGTCAATATGTGCAATCTTGGTTTACTTAATCTGGGGATTCTTTAAATCAGAAACGTTGGCATGAACAAGTAATAATCCCTCCAGAGTCCTTGTACAGAAATAATTTGCAGGATCTGGTCGTTAGTTTGTTTCTGTTCTGAGTGCTTGAATTCTACATCTATTAAAACGAGTGACAAAATTCCCACTGGCTTAGGATCAGGCCATGCTGCAGAGAGGATATCAGCCGCTATGTGGTAGCTTTGGCATATCTAGTGTGCTGGATTGTAAGTGACTTCTTGGTCTTTTGTAAATGGTCATATTCATGACTTCAAGGAAAAAGGATTGGGTAGTATATATTTATTAGCACTGTGGTTGAGGAGAAGCTGTTATGGTTGAGGAGAAGCTGTTATGGTTGTGGAATATTACAGGTTTAAAAGGGCAGTTAGAGAGAAACACGACAGGGTATAAACAGCTAAGAAAGCTTCCTTTTTTCCCTTTCCTGCCCTCCCCAGCTTCACTCCCCCCACCTTTACTCCCCTCTTTTCCTCTTTTTCCATTCTCCCCTACCCCACTCTCCATTTTTTTTTTTTTTTTTTTTT